GTAAATGGACAAAATCTTTAAAAAAACAAAAACAAAAACATGTATTTTGCATGTTATATGTATTATATACTCTATTCTTGGAATAAAGTAAGCTAGAGAATAAAAAATGTTAATAATGAAAAATACACATATAGTACTCTATCTTAAAAAGTCCGCATATAAGCAGACCCATACAGTTCAAACACATGTTGTTCATGGGTCAACTATATCTGAAAGTTGCTAAGAGTAGATCTTAAATGTTCTTACCACACACACACAAAAGGTAACTATGTGGAGTGATAGCTATGTCAGCTAAACTTATTATGTAGTCATTTCACAATATAAACATATACCAAATCATCACATTTTACATCTTAAACTTACACAATGTTATATGTCAATTATAGCTCAATAAAGCTGGAAAAAAAAATGAAGTAGAACTTACAACACCCCCCTCCCCCCGCAACACACACACACGCAGAAAAAAACTGGTATTTTCAGATCTATCTTGGGAGAACCCTGTACCCTAAATTTAACTGGGGAGCTTGCCCATTACATGTATCAATTCCAAAATACTAGTTTCTGTGTCAGAATATGTATCTGGCCAAATGTTTCAAATCTTATATAAAAAAGTTACAGGAAGTTTAATAAAGGGAATTTCATTAGAGAAGTTCATCCTCAGAAACACAAAAGTGAATTGAAATATTTCATTAAAATTTTGGTTTCTGGGGTGCCCAGGTGGCTCAGTCAGTTAAGTGTCTGCCTTCGGCTCAGGTCATGATCCCAGGGTCCTGGGATCGAGCCCCACATCAGGCTCCCTGCTCAGCAGGGAGTCTGCTTCTCCCTCTGCCCCTGTCCCTGCCCCTGCTCTCTCTCTCTCAAATAAATAAATAAAATCTTTTTTTTTTTTTTAAGATTTTATTTGACAGAAAGAGACACAGCGCGAGAGGGAACACAAGCTGGGAGTGGGAGAGGGAGAAGCAGGCTTCCCGCTGAGCAGGGAGCCCGATGCGGGGCTCAATCCCAGGACCCTGGGACCATGACCTGAGCCAAAGGCAGACGCCTAACAACTGAGCCACCCAGGCACCCCAAATAAATAAAATCTTAAAAAAAGTAAGTAAAATTTTGGTTTCCGGGTAAAGAAACAGAGTCTGGCTTTTTCAAAGAGGCTATGAGAAGTCACTAATGGATCCTAAGTAGGAGGGGTAACAAAGCCACTTCACATTTTAGAAAGACTGTCCTGACAGCAGTGCATAAGGTGCGTGGGGGGTCATTACAGTGAGAAGACCCAGCTATAGTGCAGGGGAGCAGGGGACAAACAACGGTCTGGAATAGGCACAGTGGAAAAGGACAGAAAAAGGGTTAAGAACTCTTTGGGAGAGAGAATTGAGGACGTCAGACTCCTTCCTAGCTGCTAACACCCAACTCTGAATAAGGATGCCTGTCCTCCTAACTAGACTGGCCAGTATCCTCCATCCATTGATGCCTTTAGTCTGAAAGGAAGATAATCGGGTCCCTAGGAGCCCCCTCTGACCCTGCAGGCACAAGTAGGAAGATGTTTTAGAAAATGCTTTATTTTCTGAGTGGCAGCCCCACCCCCCCACCTAACACATACACACACATACACACTCTTTGTCTTCATCACATTTCCAAAAGGGACCATGTGTCAAGATGTCATCCATCTCCAGACATCTGACTCACACAGAGAAGAGATGGGGAGGGGCCCATTACATACATCAAGCTATCAAAACACTCCTTTCACTGCTTCTGCTCAATCTAGAAGACTCGGCCTGAAATTATTTTAAGATTTTCTGTTATTTGCAATGTTATGGAAAAGTAAATTACTGACATTCACAAGGTGATAATCTGTAAAGAACAAGTTTGTTTTCCTTTTTTAATTTAGGATCTTATTAGCAATACATCAGCATCATTAATAGAAAAAAACACTGTTGACACAGAAACTCAAAAAACCAGCCATTAAGAAAATAATGTAGTAATCAACCACTATGAGAGAAAATGGGTCCTCTCATTTGATTCTACTGGCAAGCCCAGGTTTATCCTGAACTCTGAGAGACTGTCCTGAGTGGATGATGAAACATTCAAGTAAAAGGTAAGGAGTTATAAGTGTGAGTTTCTGAGGGATACTGCCTCAAAAGAAGTTCAGGGGTAGCCACAGTCCTCCAGTTTACTCCAATGTTGGGACGTTTCTGGGACGACCAGCATAGTTTCCTTTTGAGGAGTTCTGACAATTCATCAGCCTCAGGATTCAGGTCTTATAAAACGTTCTTCCATGTTAAAAAAGACTTTGTTCCACAGGAATAAGTTTTTCATCGCTTCTCCAGCTTCTTGTACTTGGCTTCTGCCAGGGAGAAAGGGGGGAAATTAAATCTTTAAAACCAGCTCTTACAAAAATCCAGGCAAATTCAACAATATCTATTACATTAAAAAAAAAAATCTATTGCCTTCAATCTCATAATCTGTCCAAACTGGGTCTAAATTGGAGGCACACCACAAATGTTAACTATCATATTAGCTAAGGACAGATATTTAGTTATCCATCATCGATGTGCACAACCTAACATAAGGAGTCAAACACACACACCCACCCACACACAAATTAAGAAGAAGTTCACTTAAGTTCTAACCCTGTCAATAGCACCTGCTCAGACATCTCCACCAGGAGTAAGCAGATCTACTGGCGCTGGAGTCACGGGGAACCTTACTAAGCACAGGAAATTGCTTCTCCAGGCACTGTCCCCGGCACTCTCGGGGAGCCAGACGGGAACTCTCTGAATGTATAAATCTATTTTTCCCCTTTTATTTTCTTATTCCTATACCTCGCTATAGGAAAGCAATTTTGAAAGACACAGATTTAAAAGACCATCAAATAAGCCTCTTAATGTGACAGATTATCTTTTTCTTTAAAACCTTGAAAAAAAACAAAATGAACCAAAACAAACCTTGAAAGCATCTGGTACAATGCCTTCTATATAGTAAGGTTCACCATTTAGTGAATTTAATTGCGGACAATGAAACTGTTATTCACCACTCATGCCACATCTCAGTCTGTTACAGACCTCTCTCCTGAAGTAGTCAACAGTTGTCCATGATGAAAATAAAAATCTGTAAATTATATCTAGGATAAAGACAACTTCCTTGCTTTTAATCATGGATGTAAGAGCCAGAGCCAGTTGGCAAGCCATCAACAATACAAGTACCAGTTTCCTCCTTAAAGGAAAAGTAATCCTTCAAGAAAACTCTTGATTGACTTTTCTATTTTTTAAGACATATGTATTTACATTACTAAAGATGCTTCAGCCTGCTGAACCACAATTTTAAGAGCTTGAGCTTTGTAATCAAACAGACCTGGTTTGGAATATAGCTCTTTCACATGCTAGCTTGTATCCTTATGCAAGTTATTTAACCCCTTCGACCAGTTTCCTTCTTCAAAGAATGGGGATAAAAATCACATACTTATCTCACAGATTACTGGGAGGATAAAAAGCGTAAAACATGTAAAGCACTAAGAACAGTGCCTGATATGTATCATTGAGTACTCAGGGAATAGTATTTTTATTACTACTACTACTACTATTAAAAAATTACTCTCACTAGGTTTTTGTGAAGCTTAATTAAAATAGATCATCATAGGTGCACCATAAATGTTAACTATCCTATTAGCTAAGGTCATACTGGGGGGCAGGGTACTCTCATTAATCAAAACAGAAATAAAAATGGTTACCCAGTTTTTTTGAATATGCATCCAACTTGTAGGCTGCCTGCTCAAGAGCCGCTACTTGCTCTTCAATTACGTTGATCTGATCCAGATAAGGCTGCAGTCCAGCATCTTTGAAAACAAAGACAGACCATACGTTCATACAGCCTCAACACAGAGTATAGAAAAGAGTAAGGAGTAGGAAAGTAAAAATGCTAGTGTCCCTCCAGCTCTGCCCAATACACACTAGGTGGGGGGGACATGATTCTGATCACTCGCAGGACAAACACTAGCAGACCAGGCAGAACTGTGACCTCAACAAAGCAAGTCTCTCTCATCCACTAATTTTCCTCTTTTAAATTCCTTGATCCTCAAGCAATCTTTCCATTACTGATTCAGTTTCTTGAGTAATCCCGTACCAAGAATACCAAAATCTGTGTTCCCTAGAGATAGGGAACACAAATATAAGTCAATGGAAAAATATATTCTACCGGTCTAAATTAGCATTTTCCATTTATAGATGTTCTGGTTTTCTGCTTATAGAGTAGTCCTTTAAGGATTCCACTGTTAAATAAATTCACTAAAATCTGACTACCCTTTCTCCCCCTTCTCCCTTTTCAGGAATAAACTGATCACATCAAGATTCAGAAGCAGAAATAACCATACCAAAATATGCTAATCCTTAAAATGGAAGAAATTCTCCCTAACTTTGTAATTCACTTTTACAGAATGAGCTCCCTAAGGCCAGGTGCCATGTTCCCTCCACTTCTCCACAACCCCAAGCACAAAAGAACACTAAATACAAACATGTTTAATTATAAAAATTATTACTTACATTTCTGGTTTAAGTCCTTTAAGTTTCTACTAATGTTTATAGCAATATCTTTCATTTCAAGATACTTCAGGCTGGTTAGTTTATTCATATTTTCCAGGAGCTTATAGTCTTCGCTGGTGGCTTTAAAATAAACAGATGTGATGCCTTTAAGATTTGTCACAGATCACTGGAATGTGGAATCATAGGCCAAATGGTAGTTCAAGACAGGATGCAGTGAATGTCAAAGGAGGAGGCCACTACTGAATTATGACATTTATACTCAGCCTGTGTACTCTGAATGTCTAAGTAGAAACTCAGGTAATAATTAGCAAACTATTTAAACCAAATAAGATCCAGAGACTTCAGAACCTTTGTTAAAAAGGAAAATAATAAATTCATGTCCTGGGGCGCCTGGGTGGCTCAGTTGTTAAGCGTCTGCCTTCGGCTCAGGTTATGGTCCCCGGGTCCTGGGATCGAGCCCGGCATCGGGCTCCCTGCTCAGTGGGAAGCCTGCTTCTCCCTCTCCCACTCCCCCGCTGTGTTCCCTCTCTCTCTGTGTCTCTCTCTGTCAAATAAATAAATAAAATCTTTAAAAATAAATTCACGTCCTAGGAAAAGAGAAGGTGACATAGTACTGGTATTTCTATGGTATGATAACATGTAATCTGGAGGACTGCATCATAAATACATATAAAATCAATTAGGAACCATTTCTTAGTAACTCATTTATTACTGTGTGATTCTATATTGCATTTTATGCACTCCTTCTCATATCCTTTGTTCCCTTCCCCATCCCTACTCAAAGCAAATGGCTTCTCCTCCAATTTTCCTGAAAAGTGGAAAATTCCACCTACATGAGCTGCCTCAACCTTTCTGCCTCACTTCAAAACTTCTCTGTACCTTTCTATCTTCCCAAGAGGCAGGAGTGCTCCTCTTCTTGCCAAGACAACTTCTCCCGTGCTCTTGTTTCCACTTCTTCAGGGCCTCTTTTTCAATCATCTCCTTGCCCTGGCATTTCCAAATTCTCTATCCTAGCAGTTCCCTCACTATCTAGAAAGATATTCAGGTTTCTCTCCAGCCCAAAAGCACTCTCTCTTCTGCTACACCTACATCATTTGCTCAGTAAAGCAAAGGAGCTTCACTGCTAACCCTTTTGAAAGACCAGCTCATATTCACTGCCTCCTCCTCCTCACCATTCACCCATGTAAACCCTTGCAGCCTGGCCTTTGCCTCACCGTCCAGGGAAATTACATGCTCCAAGGTCATCGGTGCTCTCCAAAGCACCAAATCCACAGCGGCGTTTTCTCAGCTATTATGCTCCCCAACCTCTCCATAGTACCTGACACAGTGAGCTCCCTCTTTTCACAAAATGCTCATTTCCCTTGGCTGCCACGTCATCATATTACCCTGATTTTCTCATCTCTTTCAATCCACTCTTTGTAGGTTTCTATGCTAGATCCTTTCTCATTCATCCTTAACTATCACTTCCCAATTTTTTCTCAGCTGTGACCCAACTGATGTTTACATGGGTGGCACATTCCTATGGGCATTCCCAGGGTGATGCTAGCTTCCTTTCAAACTCAAAAAAGCATTTGTACAAGTAAGAATGACAATCACAGGGAATTACATTCTGTTTAAATTAATTTGGTGATAAGTAAATCATTTGTAAACCTAGGTACTTTAAGAACTGTTGTTAGAAAAAATTAATTGCCCTATTCAAGCATTCACTGAGATTATAGTTGAGGCCCTCAGCTACCCCTAAGCACATCCCTGCCAATCTCATCCTGCAGAGCCTTGACTCACACCGCTGTGCAGGTGACTCCCAAATCTGTCTCCCCTGCTCAGATCACTCTCTGAGCTCAGGACTCAAAAGTGCAAGTCACCTGAGTGTCCTGATAATATCTAAAATCAGCCAAGCCAAAACCAAAAATATTTTTTACACTAAACATGGTTCTGCTTTCCCACTTGCCTATTTTAGATGATGGCACCATCAGTTTAAAACCTAGAACACCTCTTAAGCTGCTCCCATCCCTCCATAGGCACTTCAACAAGTCCTATAAATTCCACTTCTGTGATATTCTTGCAGACATGCTCTCCTTTCCATTTCTTTTACCATCACCCTGTCACTGACCATCATCATTACTCTTCATTCGAAATCTTGCTCATGTGTCTGACCTCTCTCCTCCATAACCATACTCGGCCAGCAAATTAGTCTCTCTAAAAAAAAAAAAACAAGGGTCACACTTTAATACCTAGGAGCCTGCAAGATCATGTAAATGAATGAAGTAAACCAGGTGTTTGCATGTTAAAAACGTAAGATTATTCACTTCCACAAAAAAATATGCTCTCTCCCATTTCTTAGAACACGCAGTCATCTCACCTATAATTTACTTTACCAACTTGGATAGAGATCTTGGTCCAGAAAATCATTTCTCTACCACTACTAAAAAAAAAACAACACTGTAAGAACAGTGATAAAGGGCAACTGACCAGGTCCCAGTAAAAGGGAGAAAAAAGAGTGGTGGGGACACACTGCATTGCACTAGGCCATTTAGAGGAGACAGCTGCTCAGCTCTAGTCAATCGCAGCATCACAAGAATGGGGAACTGGTATTGCCAAATCTTTGGAATTTTTAAAGAGAAGCCAAATATCTAGATTTTGTTACTTGGTTTCTCTTGCTCAGAAATAACTAAAAAAACTGATCAGACTGATAGAGCCTCACAAGCCCTCCCACTCTGCATCAAGCATTTTCTCATTAATTCTGGTTCCCAAATTTAGCTCACAGCAATTTCCTGGGGAAGTGAAACAATGCTTATGAGAGGCCACACAGGACCAAACTTCACTTTTTGGACATTTCTCCACACACAAGTCATGTGTTCACCTAGAAATACACAATGAACCCAAAACTAATCATGTCCCCAAGTGTGGGTCACCAAATCCTCAGAACAACCTAGTAGGTTCCTAAATCTGCAGGTCACTCTCCATTCCCCAATTTCATTTCTCTTTGCCCTAGTAAATACATCTGCTTTAAGGGAACAAACTGCTTGCTTATACCCCTCACTCACCAATCGTTTCCCCCCTTTTTGGTCAGTCATTCCCTTCACAATCCTGCTCAAAATACACCTCCCCCCAAGGAAGCACTTCTTGATGAATTCTTTTTTTGTCTTCTCATACTTAGTCTACACTGCCCAGGCTTGCAGTTATATTAGGTATTTTTATGTATTTCTGAAATTAGCTAGTGAATTTCTCCAGGGAAGGAATGGACCTTCTTCTTTCCCATTCATAACCTTCCCAAACTTCCAACAGGCACATTTCAGGGCATGGGGAGTGTTGGGGAGGGAGCCACAGACTGATGCCACTAACGCACCTCACAGCTCCCAGAGCCAAACTACAGCTCCAGCGAGTGACGCAGGGCAGTACCCGAATCAGCCCACACCCCGCCTCACCCGTCAGTTCCCCAGTCAGGTAAGTTGCCATTTTGGAGAACATGTCCCGGCAGAGCTCAGTGATGTCAGCCTCAGCCGGCTCCTTTGCTTCCTCAGCGGTCTCCACGGCGGCATCGTCTGAATCAAAGGAGAACGAATAAGTGTCCCGCCCTACACCGGGTCCTAATCCAGCCACGGCACCCTCTCCCCACATCCCTCCACCTGTCCTCATTCGATCAGGTCGGCTCTATTCTCCATGTGCCATAATTTCAAGTCCCTTACTTGTCCTTGCCCCACCTGACACGCCAACTCTGCTCCCTTGCACCGGCCCTTGGCTCAGACCGATCCCGTGGCCAAACCACCCCAGTCCTCAGGTCAGGTGCGCCCCTCCGACCTGCTCGCTCCTGCCAGGTGAGCCCCCAGCCTCCTGCTGGACATTTCATCCCCAGCTACTCGACGTACCTCGAATCGGCTCCTCTCTTTGGGTGGCGGAGACACCCTGGGCCGCCGCCGCCGCCGCCGTCGCCGCCGCCATGCCTGGCCCCGCGCTGCTTCCGGTTGTCGGATGCCCGCGCCTGCGCGCCGGCCGTGCCCCGCCCTCCCCGCCCTGGGTTCGCAGCCCTAGGATACTCTGCCTCTCCACTGCGTCTTGCGGCTTACGCGTACGACGAGTAATAACAAAGAGTAAGCTTGAAGCTGAAATTGAAGCTAAGATAAGCTATTGTGAGTTCATCCGTTGCCAACGTCTGGAACCGAGAATGCGCTCATCCCTGTCACTAGTGTAGTAAGACCGACGACCTCTCTGGGATTGTTTTAGCTCTGGTGGCCTACTGACCAAAGTCACAGGGACAGGTTATCCTCTCCTTAGACACTCCCCACCCAGGCTGGTAGTCGTCGCCAAAGACTGCTCAGGGAATCCATGCTTTTGAAGGTAGTCTCATCCAGCCTTTGGGAAGCGTTCATTCATTGATCCCTGAGCCGAAATACTGGCCCTTCCAATGGTTAAACAACTCATTTGCCCCTTTTTCTTGAGCTGCAAGTTGGCACCTACTTCTCTTCAGCTGACACAGTCTTTCTGGAAGAAAGCTTTGTAACTTTTTACGGCTGAGGATACACTCTGGTTATCTTGATTGCATTTAGCTGTTTCGCAAGTCTCCTAGGTGTATGGAGTGTATGTGATGGGATGGTGAAAAGGGTGGGAGAAGGGAATGGATGAGAAAAAACAACTGGGGAGCAAAGTGCAAAATGAGAAAGAGGTAAAGATTACAGGGGAAGGGAAAAAGGTATATAGTGGGTCTTGGGACACAGACCTACACACCCAAAATCCTAGTGTAGAAGTTTTTAGTCCTGTTCTTAGTTATTCTCCATCTCACCCTCTTACCTCCCACACCCTACACCACACACACACACAACCCAGCTACCCCTCATGCCAGTGTAAGGGCTACCTTACTCTCTTCATCCTGAGGACCAGGTCTCCCTAGGTCACTGTCTCCACTCTCTAAATGGTACAGTCATAATGCCCACCATTTCAAATCATTCCTATGAGCCAGAAGTTCTTATTTCAGCCCCTTCACATTGTCACGGCTGCCAGTCTACCCCTCCTGGCAGGGATGAGTGTTCCAGCCCAAATACAAGAATGGACGCTCTGGTTTCTCTTCAGATTGCACAAATCTTTCACCTTTTACCAAATACAAGAATGGTTCACAGCTCCAGCCTCTCTTCTTCCTCCTACAATCCCAGAAGCAAATGCAAAGTCCTGATTTTTCTAAGGATTTTTATTGATAGTCACCAGAGAAACCCATATGTCCTTTGCAAGAATAGTGTCAGAGCCCACCACATTTTATTCCAAAGATCTCCGAATCCTGAAATCATTTCTTTGTCTGATTCTCCTAGGGCTCCATCTATGTCCCTGTTTACAGCCCTGTTAGTTCCCAGTGTTTAGTGGAATGTCGTGAGCAGCCTCCTCAACTGAGCGGTCATGGTCTTTGCCCTGGATGGAGGGGCATTCCAACACCTCTGCAACACTGTAATCTCCACATGTGAGAAAGTTTCCTCTCCTCCAAGGCTTCCCCTTCTCTTTCACCTGGAAACTCTATGAAGAAGACAAGAATCCCATGGGTGCTAGCAGCAGATCTCTAGATGCACAAAGGATAAGACTCACTGGCAAATAGGAAGACATTTAGAGAATGCTGCTCTCTTGGCTTCTACTTTTTTCACAAATCGTGGCTATCCAGATGCCAGGTGCTTAAGGAACATAACCCTCCCTTCCTTTATTCTGTTTGTTATTAACTTTTTTTTTTTCATCACAGCAGAGCTGAGAGCACAGGGAGTGAGGGGCTCAGTGGCAAATGTTATCTCAAAGAGCTACACAGAGCTACATGGCTACACACAGAAACATTGAGTCACAAGCCTAAGCATGATACAAGCTATACGTAGAAACATTGATTCAAGGGGCCAAACACAGGGTAGGACTCTGCAGTAGCAGTGGAGGGAACTGCTGCCCTAGAAGTGGAGGGCATGTCCTGAGGAGGTCTCTGAGGAGGCAATGAGAGAGGAGGCTGCTGTCTGATGCTTTAGGGCCCCTCCCCCACCACTCTCCTGCCCACGCTGGACTCCCCAGGTGGCTGGAGTCACAGCTGGGGTTGGCTGCAGGTGCTCCCAAATGCCTTGATCTCCCTGTTGGAAGAAAGAGGGACAGGTCATTTGAAGAAGGAGTTTGTGTTCCACTTCCTTTCATCTAGAAAATCTGGGTCTGATTCTTCAACCTCAGACAGTCTCCTGGAAGCCAAGGCAGCCCTCAGGCCAGAGCAACCAACTTCAGGCCTTCCCTCCACCCCTTCCCTCCACTGATACAGTGACTGCTGTGAACATGTTACCCCAGGACCCTGGAAACAGACTCTTTCAAAGATGGTTTGCTTCCACCCACTGAGTAGAAAAGATGGTAGAGTTCAAATGTGGGGAACCAAGAGGGACCAGGTGAAGGGCCACTCACCAGGCCTGGGGAGGAAGCTAGCTGCCCCTTCCTCTCCAGCATCTTTAGCTTTGAGCCCACAGCATCCACCTGGGACATGACTCCTTCCAGGACAATCTCCAACTGAAGAACTCTCCTTGTGAGTCTGCAGGATTTGAGAGAGACCGAGGGAGCAGAAATATGCATCTGTGGGGCTAAGCGTCTATAGGGGTAGGAGAGCCATTATGGTCTGTGTCTGGATGGGTGCAAGGAAGGTAAGGCCCAGCCTTGTAGGGAGAATTAAAGGGGGGCAGAGGTTCTCCCTGGGCTAGGATGGAAAATTAGAAGGTTGAGAAAAAAGCTCAGGGTAGGACATTACAAACACACTCAGCCCTGGGCCCCTGGCTGCACATACGTGTAGAATTCTTCTCCTGAAACCCAGCCACCTGCTCTGGTAGCCTCTGGACCCGACTCGCCTGGTGGACTACTCACAATGGGCTGGCCCAGGTTCTCAATCTTGGCGTTGAGGGCCACCTGATCAGGAAGTCAGAGAGGAGAAGATGACTCTGGGAAGTATCAGCTCCTATTTCATCACCTGCTCTCATGGTCTCCCAGGACCAGGCCCTTGGGCTCCAGTTCATGCATTCCCCTTCCCTCTCAAACTCTAGAGATAATAGGATCAGTGTGGTGGTGCTGGACACAAAGCTGGACCAACCTCTGGGAGAGAATCACCTCCCACAGAAACAAAACATGAGCTCTTGGAAGCCTTGATTAATGAGACCCTCACTAGAAGCCAACTCTCCAAGGTCTTCCTCTCCAAGGAAGAACAGTACCAGAATTCCTGCCAATTTCCCTCCTGCCCTTGATTTTTGGGTATACACTGGATAGGGATGAAGCAGGCACAGCAGGGGCAGCTAAGGATCCGAGTTTGAAAGTCCCAAGGCAAGTCCTCAGAAAGAATTGTCAGGGATTCTCGGGTAATTGAACCTTTCCCCCTCAGACTCTGTTTTAGAGCAGTGGTTCTCAACCTTGGCTATGCATTGGAATCAACTGGAGAGTTTTTTAAAGTACTGATGTCTGGGTCCCTCACTCCCCCAGAGATTCTGTCTAGGGTATGTGACCTGAGTATGAGGATTATTTGACTCCCCAGCCCCACCCCACCAGGGTATTCTAATGTGCAGCAGTTTGAGAACCACTATTCTAGAAACTTCTTTCCTGTCCATCTAGTGAAGGGTTTTCCGTTTGGATTTGTGTTCTGGGTGCATTGGCAGGGAGGGGAGAGTGAGTGGTTCTCTTTTGCTGCCTCTCCCCCAACCAGCTGGGCTCACCCTCTTCTCCAGGTCCTGTCGCATTTGTTCTTGCTCTTTCTTGTCCAGGATGTGATTCCCATCTTGATCAAACCTGGTGAAGGCAGCTGTGAGCTCAGTGATTTCATGCTCTGCGTGCCTGAGTCTGAGGAAAACAGTATGATGAAATGACTTCTGACTTGCTGTGGTTGTGATCTCTCAATTATGGACTCCCCACTTTTTTTCCCAGACTCTCTGACTCTTGCTCCCTGTGGAAGAATGGGACCACATGGGAAAGCCAGGATCTCCAAGGTCTAGCAATTTTACCCCCCAAAAATTGTTTTAAATCTATGTCTTCCTTCTCTTAGTCCTGCTGACTAGGTTCAGGCCCTCCTGGTGTTCTATAGGAATTGTTGCAAAATCTCTTTGCCTCTAAATAATCCATCCCCCCACTCCCACCCCACTGGCTTCCCCTTCACTCCCTACCCCTGAAATCCATCCTCTATAATGCAACTAGAGTAATTAATCTTTCTAAAGTGCATGTCTAAATACACACCTTCTCTGCTTAAAATCCCTCCCAGGCACCCTATTCTTTGGATAGAATGGTGGTATTCAAGCCCTTTCCTAATGTAGCCCTTGTTCATTACTCTGGTATCATCTCCTGCTATGCCCCACTTTTATTTGATACCTTAGCAATGCTTAGCTACTTATTATTCCTATACATGTTGCTCAACACTTCTATGCCTCTGTATATGCTTTTATCTTTCTTGGAATGGACTTCCCCTGCTTGTCTACATGTAGGCTATTCATCCTCCTGTAGGTATTCATGCATCACCTCTTCCTGGAAGTCTTCCCTTAAGCTTAAAAATAGAATTGAATACTCTCTTTACTTTGTGCTCCCTCTCTTCTAGTCACTTCTTTGTTGAACTTGTTCTGTGATTCAGTTTATTTGCTTACATGTGTATGAGCTCCTGGAGGACAATGCTTTGTCTCATTAATTGTG